AACTAAAATAAATACATTGTTAGGTGTTCACTTCCAAGTGAATTTAATCCTCTGGCAAACTGAGTATCTGCCCGTGAAAATGAAGACGGTTGTGTACAGAAGTACCACGGTCTGCCTACTGCAGTGAGAAGGCAGCCCAGTCTTTGTAGCATATAAATAACTCCATGCAACTTGCACACAGTCAATAATGGTGCCACCAGTGGTGATGATTCATACACTTACTGTTTACTTACCATTATTTTATTGATTAATGCCAAAAGAAGAGAAAATTGTGCCAACCATGTTCATGCAAATTATCCCATGCCTATCAAATGGTAGCTATGGTCAGCCAATAGTCAACAAATCCAATCCACGGATGAAAAGTTCCATACAGCACTGACAACATTGCAAAGAACTGGTAAAAATTTGGTTAAATTTAATGTATTCATAACTTCTTCAGTAAAACAAAAAAAAAAAAAACAAGAGCAGAATGATATGGCATAAAAGTGCTTTGTTCCATGTTTTAGTGTTCCATTCTTCCAGGGCGTAAGGGATAATGTTACTGTGATTCTTACCTAGAGACTAAAGATAGCTGAAATTTTTTAAGCCACTTTTTTTCCTGCCAGTCTTTATATATAACATCAGTATTGATATATATGACAGATCCTTACCTGTGAATAGCCCCTGAATCTTCCGAACTTTTGTCTTTAAAGTCAAGGATCTCCTGAAGACTTTGGACATACCTTTAAAGGAAAGAAACATGACACAGACTAGTGCTAATACACCTCCTTAGTTCCCTTTGGTTAGCAATATTCTAAGACTGGCTGCATCTAAGTGATTTTATTTGATATATCCGACAGATCTACCACCTGTGAATTTTGTTAGATATTTCTGAATGCATTCATGATGTTTTCTTCCAAAATTTCCAGAGCAATTAGTTCCACAATTTAATTAAAATGCATAAACAATCTTCCTTCCATTTTAAACCCAATGGCTGATTACTTATTTGCAGCCCTAGTTGGTTCCTGTTTCTAGAAAATTTACCCAACTTGTTCATGATTTAAATATTTCTGCCATCTCCAAGCCAAAGAATTTCCCCATGCATAGAAACTGTTCCAGCCCTTTGATTATCCCTCCTGGACTTTTCTGTTCAGGATGGAGTGACAAAAACTGCATGTGATTCAGAGGAATAACGGACTAACACAGGGGTGGTTACATTCTCCTCTACCACATTGGTTACTCAGTTCCTAACACTATTTGCCTTCTTGCCCATCAGCTGACATTCAGAAAAATATCCACAGTTGCACCAAAATTTTTGATTGTGAGTAAGCATAGAAGTGGAGGAAATTGCTCTCTGCTTTGCATTTGTCCAAGTGGAATTAATTCTCCATTCTGTCAACATAATTTAGCACCACAAGAATTTAAGCTTTCATGTTTCATTCAGAGCCTTCATCTACACTGATATCTCTTGTTATATTCAGTCACCAAATCAACGCTACTCTTTCAATGGCAGGCTGTTCTCCTAATGTTAAAAGCCTTTTCCACAATGCCATGTGCTATTAGCAGTTGCCAAGCAATCCCTTTGTTTTGCTTCCATCTCGCAAAAATTAATGCTTAAACTCCTAACTTAAAAGCAAACTTTACTTTTCAAAGGACAGCTTTTTAATTTTAATAGCCTTGTATTGATCCTGCTGTGCTCTGGCTTTGGCAGCTTTCTATTGTTTATCTTCTCTGCCCTCACTCTCAGTCTGCAATAACCTGTCTTTTAGACAAGTTTCTATTCTCTTTTGCAAACATTTTGTGTATTTAGATACTGTTGGTTTCTTCAGCTAGCTTCTTCATTTTAGGTAAGTTCTCTATTAAACACTGCTATGGTGGATTTTTGTTATTACTGAATTCTCATACACTCCTGCAGGCTTTTGTTTTGTTTTGTTTTGTTTTTCCCAAGTCTTCAAATTTAGTTTCTGTCCCATTGGGATATTTACTCATTCTATACAATGTTCATGTTGTGAGAATATTGAGTACTTCTTTCTGTAGAATTTAATGAGTTGCTTCTCCAGCTGTGTATATGAAAAAAGTCACCCTTGAAGGAATTAAGTAACACCTCTTACCAACTCTGTACCAGCTGAACTGAAGGTGTTCTGAGAAGATTGTCTGGAAGCAGGCTTATTTCCTTCATTATGTTTGCTAATCTTACAGGCAGCTCTTGTCGCAGAAACATAAATGAAGTCTTTTCACAGGCATTTTCAGATCCTGGGACCAAAAAAACACGTTTGACAGCACTGGAATAAAGTCAGCATTTATGGTAAAGTGCTACACAAACCCTTATGTTTGTGTCTAAGAGGCCACTGGTTAGGTTTTAAAGTTTACTCAGACAGTGTGGTATGCCAATGTTTCTTTCAAGGCAGCAGCACAGTTATATTTAAAACTGTTAACTCATAATGAAATCTACCTGTAAAGATAAGGACAATCTTGAATATTTAAGAGTAACTACTGCAAGAACTGCTGGCCCATATAATTCAACTTTAAATAAGACTTCTATCTAATTAAATAGCTTGTTTCATGTGTAGCAAACACTGACTAACTACCACTGATGAAATGATACATCATTCATGAAAAGCAAATCAAACCACCATGGGAAGCTATTTGCAGGAGCCTGTGTATATATCAATTATATGCAGTTATTAAGTCAAGGCATAAATTCACTTCCACAATGCTTGTTTTACTAGGCCTGAAAGGAGGGGGGAGGCAAAGGGGATAAGAAATGCTGACATTTCAGCAATGCCACATCAGTGTTATCTAAGCTTAACTAGGTTATGTACTGCTGTGAAGTATCTACCTCAGTTTTGGTGTTCCACAACGGGGAACTCCTAAGAATTATCTCTTTGGTGTTTTTGCTCAGTTCAGTCCTTCAATATGACAAGGGGAAGAGTTGGGGAAGAAGATTGCGCTTACCAGTACTACACACTGTTTACATACAAGCTCTGCCCAGAAGCCTCATTCTTTTCCCTAGTCAGGTTGCATTTCTGACATGACTGTTACTGGCCTTTCCCTATTCTCAGGTAAAAATTCCATGAACTAGTCAAATTGAAGGTGTAAGAATGAAACCAAAATCTTGAATTTCCCCCACGCACTTGGCAAATGATATTCTGCAAAGTAGCTTTGCCTCTAGAGGTCACATCACAGTCCTGGGTCAAAATTAGAAGACAGCTTAAGGTAAACAAGATTTCAGTGAATGGGCAAATGCTTTGTTTCCCCATGCAGTCACAATCTATGCGAAGAACTGATAAGGCTCCTACAGAAAACACTGTGCACCAAACCCAAGATACAACTGACGTGTAAGATTAAGACCAAAATTTGCTTACAGAATACTTCATTTACTAGACTGATTGGAACTAAAACGAGAAAAGCAGATTTTGAAAACAACAGTTTTCAAGATTACCTTATGTCAAGGTAGAAATAGCAAGAAAGTGGCCTCCCCTTTGACATGGTAAATACCACACCTTGAAAATAAATAATGATGCTAAGGCAAAAATGATTGTGTTGGTATTCTAGTAGTAAAACAACAGAGGTCAAAAATCACTCTGAATTGCAAGGTTCTTTGCTTAATAGAATAGCAGCAAAGACTGCAGCTAGATTCCTGTAAAAATCTGGAATTGTAAACATGGGATACATTTTATTGTAATGTACAAACAATGAATGGACAGATGAAATAAGAGGATACTTAAAAGAATCTGTTTAAATCCGTCTATGTAGGAAGTCTGGGGTTCTCAGTTATGTTTTACTTACAGAAAGACAAAGATCAGTACAGTTGTTTACTAGTTATAAGTTAACATACAGCTTATGACGCTATTCTGCTTACAGAAACAGAACCTACTGCAGTATGGCTCGACGCTCAGGACTGATGAAGGCCTTCCAGCATCACTTGCAGACCTTCCTCTGCACAGCCTTGGAAGCAGAGCAGCGCCTACAATACATCCCTTTTCATTGCAAGCACTCCTCAACCCTGGGAGCGATATTTGTAGTTTTAGCATGGAGCATCAATCACACTGAGCATCCTGATGCCAACGTATTCATTTTCAAGGCCAGATTCCCAGCCTGGCTCTTGGCGTTTGCTTTCCGCTCCCTCTCGCACACATTCCCCAGCACGCAGCCCTGGGTGTTTATGCTGGGGACAGACAGGCACGTGACTGCAGAGCAGCCGCAATGGTTCCAGCCGCGCGCTCCGCCAGCGTTGCACGTTTCCTGAGCTCCGTAAAGCCCGCATGCCGCTGGCTTTCAGCAGGCTTCACCGGCGTGCCTTTTCGGTCGCCGCGTTAGCAAGTACCAGCTGTCATCGGTACCAACTGTCCCCGGCTTCTCCCCAGCGCTGCAGCTTGGCGGAACACCAAACCACCTCTGTGACAGCCGGATCTCGAGTTTCCAGCTGAGTTTCAACCTTGCCTCACTTTTGCCTCTGGGTAAGGAGCCATCTGGGCTCCGTTCTGGTGGAAGGAAGCAGAAACCGAAGCCGGTTCTGCCACGAGGCCGGCGTTAAGCAGCGGCACGCGGCGCAGGAGCTGGCCGGGCCTGCCATCCCGTGCCGAGCACAGTCCGCTCCGCGGCCACAGGCGTGAGGCCCGCGGCTCCTCCACGCGCGCGAGGGGCGGCGGTCGGCCGCGCGAGACCGTCTCGAGCCTCGGCCCCTCAGGGACACCTGCGGCGGGACTCACCGAAGTCCAGGAACTGCTTCATGGAGAGCGGCGAGGGGGAGAAGCGCGAGTAGAAGTCCACCTGCTGCGGGATGCTGCCCGGGGAGGCGCAGCGCAGCAGGGCGCGCAGCAGCCTCATGGCTCCTCCCGCGTAGCCCGTTCGGCTCAGCCCGGCCCGACCGCCATTTCCCGCCGCGCCCCCGGCCCCTACCCGCACCGCGGCCTCCTCCGCCGCGCGGCCGGGGGAGGTGCCCGAGGCGGCGCGCGTCCGCCCGGCCCGGCCCCACGCAGCGGCGGCGGGCGGAGGAGAGGGCGGCTCCGAGGAGAGGAGACCCCGCCCGGCGTTACCGAGGCGGCCGCCGACCTCCGTCCTGGCGAGAGGCGACGCTTGCTCCAGGAGAAGCCCGGCTCCGGCAAGGTACGGCAGTGGCGCTCGGGAGGGCGGAGGGGCTGCAGCCGCAGGCGGGGCCGGGGAAGCAGCGAGGGGGGAGAAGCGGGAAATGGCCGCCGGGCTGAGGGGCGCCTCCTCCGGGACTGCGCGGCGCGGAGAAGGTCGCGGAGCGGCGTGAGGAAAGCGGGCTCTGGAGGTGCTGTGCTCCGATGGGGCAGAAATGAAGCCGGGATGGCGGCGAGGTCTGTGTAGTCGGGCGCGTGTGAGGCAACGAGGTGTGTTTGGTAGGCTCGTACTGTACTCAAGTGAAAACCTCGGAACATCGATGAAAAAGGTATTAGGAGTGATCGCGGACGTTCTGACGCGTGTTCTGTGATGGGAGCGTTGAACCCTGCCGTTCAGCACCGCGCTCGGAGCGGTGCTGTGGTGGGGTCTGGCCCCGCGCTGCTTCGCTTTTGTATGGATGCTTGTGGTTGTTTCTCATGAAATTAACTGCCAGACGCGGCCTGTTCTCCCCTGTTCTCCCAGTCTTCTTGGCTGTACTGGGAACGGGCGGCCGAAGCCCCGTGTCAGCCCGGCAGTCGCTCTGCTGTTTCTGCCATGTTACCCTGCTCAGCACGTCGCTGGTCCTGCGAGAGTGGTGGGGATGGTATCGTTAATTATGTGGTGGTGGTGTTTCTTTTCGTTTTGGACGTTGCATTGATTGAAGTGCGGAACGCATGCTGATTTGCTCCACCTCCAAAGGCAATTTTCTGAGCAGTAACATTAGCAGGAAGGTCAGAGCTGGTTCAGGATCAAACTGATTTGTTTGTAGGCAGACTTGTACTTCTGTCTTTTTCTGAAATGTGGGTGCCCAGCTGTACTCTGACCAGCAGCAGTGGCTGATGGGGCAAGCCAACAACCTTTCTGTCCCTGTACAAACACAGGTTAATAACACTGCTGCAATGCTGCTTGCAGGCTGCTTACAAGAGATCATACGCTTCTCAGTCTTAGAGCAGTTTGAGGATCCTTCTTGGCTTCCATATTGCTGTTCTTAAGACTGGTTTATAATGGTCTCAACTCTGAGCTAGTAGCAGTTTAAAGCAGTACCCACATGCAGTAAGTTGGGTGTTTGTAATTTGTTGCAGCTGCTCAAAATGATTCTGTGCTGGTTTCATCTTTTCCACCTGCATGCTGGTGTCCAGGTGTCAGCTTTTTCTTGGTCACCTTGAAATTGCTGATTGTGTACCAATCCATGGAAACATGTTTTGTTAAATATCAGAGAATTCCCTGGGTTTGTTCAGCCCAGAGCAGATGTGAGGGAATGACATGGAGCTGTCAGAGGGGTCAGGTGGGTGTTAGGAGAAAGTTCTTCACCACAGTGCAGTGAGCACAGGACAGGTGGCCCAGGCCGGTGGGCACAGCCCTGAGCTGCTGGAATTCAAGGAGCATTTGAACACTGCTGTCAGACCTAGAGTTTGAATCTTGGATGTTCCTGTGTGGAGCCAGGATTTGGGCTCAGTGATCCTTAAGGATTCCTTCCATCTCAGAATATTCTATAGTGTCAGTTTTGAGCATGAGTACAATTGCATACCCATACCCACTGCCATAACCCTATCCCACTGGACTGGAAAATAACACATTTTTAAGACTATAAGCCTGAGAAAAGAGCTCCTGGGAAGCTGTATTGTTCTGTGTTCTTGTGGTCTCTGGCCTATATTTAAAATCCATCATTGAGTTTCTTGCTTTGCAACTCAAATACATCTGCTGTTTGTAGTCAGGTTATCATAATGGAAAGATTGTGTTAAGAGGAGGAAAAAAAACCCAAAACAATGAGCTTTAAGCCCCTTGTCCTTAGATGTCCTATTTCAAAACTGTCTGTATGTATTCTGTATCATGACACACAGTCAGGAGGAGCCATCACCTCCGTCCAGGTCAGAGAGGCCATGAAGAGAGATCTCAGGAAACTGCAGAGCTGGGGGTCACTAATCACAGCTGAACAAATGCTGGGTTCTGTACTGCTCAGAGCCATCTCCTTCTGTGGCTCCTCATTCCTATTGCTGCTGCCTGGGCACGTTTCCTACAGCAGTGCCGGGCACTGACAGAGCGCTGAGCCCATCCAGCAGCTGGAGTGCTGCCTGCCACAGGTGGGCTAGGAATTTTGTCTTGGCAGCCATCACAGTTCCTGCAGTTGCATAGACCACTGGGGACATGGAGGGGGCACCTTTGCTGCCCTACAGCTCCCCTTAGCCTTGTGTGCCCAGGGCTGAGCAAAGGCCAAGCCCACAGTCTTCCCTGGGCTCCTGTGTGCCCGGGGCTGCTGGCTGGGCTGTCACCCCAGAGGGCACAGTCATTCGGTGCTGGGGAGAACAAGAGGGGTCACAGTAGTCCCAGTGCACACTACTAGTGTACCAAAAATGAAGACACATTTACTGGTTTAGCTTTTTTATTACAATTATGATTTTGTATTGTCCTTCTAAATGGTTTATGGTCCAAACTTGTAAAAAAGTTTTGAAGGAGCTACTGGAGTGAGGCTTCATGCTGATTGTCAACCCTTCTTCCCATGCAAATCACGGTCCTCTGCTTCTATAAAGGAACAGCTGCATTTGGAGCTTCTCTGACTCTACCTGGAGTGCCGCAGGGCACTCGGGGCCATCAGTTGGCCTTTTTCTCTTGTCCTGTCACAGCTCAGTGCACACCAGTCCCAGTCCTGCCTTATTCCTTAGAGCCCACTTGGAGACCTCATGGAGCTCAGGGCTGTCTGCGGGACTCTTCCCATTGTCCCAGTGCAGCAGCTCAGAGGACAACAGTCACAGTCCTGTGCTCTTCCTCAGAGCTCACCTGGAAGCTGCAGGAAGCTCACAGCTGGTGTGCCTCCATGGTTTTTCAGCTGGTGCACTTGCTCTGCACGAAGGCTTGTCTTTGTTCTCACATTTTTATCTGTAACCTTCCTTGCTTTTGCTATGCTAGGAACGTTTCATGGAGTTCTGTTGACTTATTGTGGATTTCATCCCTTACTTTTTTACACAAGTAGAATTAAAAGTGTATAAAAAATAGCAGTAAGGTTGATCTAATGTGGAGTGTCATCTGTATGAATTTGTATCAAATTACCGATGGTTCAAGGAGAGCACAGGGATATCTTTGTGTCTCTTTATATCCAGTATGCAATTAAATTCGAGTTTGTGAATTTTTGCCACGTCCATGTGAGTCAGGGTCAGAAAGCAGAAATTGGAATTGATGGTGGGTGTCTCCATCGGAAAAACAAAGCTTGCACTGCAGTTGCACCCTTGTTTTTGTGGGAAGAGGAGAGGTGAAGCACTGCTGCTTTCTTCTTGTGAGGATCACGGCTGGCTGTGCATGGGGTGTAGTAATGCAATGTGGGCAGTGCGGTGCTTTGTGCTCCTTAGAAATAGGCTGGCAGTAAGCAGCTGCTTCATGCTGAGAGGAGAAGGTGGGGCACTGGAGGCTCCCTGCACAGGGCAATGAGGGCTGTGAGGAGTGAGCAGTTGGGAGTAACATGCGTGCGAGAAGCAGCTGGAGCAGGGGTACTTGGGCCAGGGAGAGCAGGATTGGGATTGATCCTGAGAGCATGCAAGTTCCTGCTAAATTGGGCACTATGAAGGCCAAGCCACATAAAAGCACTGACTGGCAACAGGGCCGCTGTATGGAGGAAATCCCCCTTAAATGTAGGAAGACTTCTCCTGTGAGGTTGGTCAGCCACTGTCGTGGGTTGCTCATTTAGAGAGGCTGCAGAAGTTTGTCTCTGGAGATGTTTAAGAGCTGCCCTGGGCCTGAGCAACTGCTCTAGTTTGGACCGGGCAGGGTCTCTGCAGGGGATCTCTGGCCTTGTGCTGCTGGTCCAGGCTCCTGACCCCCTCTGCTCTCCAAAGTGCCTCATGTTTGTGGGCCAGCAGTTTTCTGGCTCTGAGCGTTCTGGATTTTTAATTTTTTTAGTTCAGACACACTGGTGCAGGGACAGCACTGCAGCGTGTCAGGTCAGAATCTTCAAAGGCTTTCACCTCAGCTTACATTGTGATGCCTGAGGTGTTTGTTGGAGTGCCCTGCACCTGCTCTTCTCCCACCTATCAGCTGCCCTCCGCAACATGTTGTGCCAGCACGGCCCCGTCCTTTGAAAGAGTCTGATGGAAGCTGTGTCTGCCGTGCTGTGGGTTAACCATAAGTGAAGTGCTGTGGTTCACTAGGATTTCAGTCATGTACCTCAGGCTACACAGTGTGCACAAGTGTTAGGCCTTGTGTATGTATATATATTCATATAGATGCATTGCATATACAGATGCAACTATCTGTGTATGAGTACAAATTCTGTACACTTATGCTACCATACATACGCCACCATCTGTGGCACTCCAGCGTATATACTCACGATAGCTAGTATCTGTGTGTGTAACATGAATATATAGAATGCTGGTTCAACTATAATGTTTCCATTTATGTTAAAACATATGTTGTATGTGTATATACAGTACAGGTCATTTAACTGTTCCTCCAAATCTGTTGTTTCTTGTTGTGGACAAATGTTTGTGGATTTAGTTGTGGAAGCAGCCTGCCTGCAGTAATATTGTATCTTTGACGTGATCCAAGGGCAGCAATTTCTAGCTCTAGCTGCAGAGCTAGCTCTGTAACAATAAACACTGTTTTGGGGTGTTGTTTGTTTGTTTGTTTTTTTGTTTGGTTGGTTATTTGTTTTTGTCTAGTATGTGTCCTTCTGACCTTCAGGGCTCCGCTTCAAAATGAAGTTGATTTAGAGTCTGGAGCACAAGACTTGAGAGGGGCAGCCAAGGAACTGAGATTGTCCAGGAGGAAGCTCAGGAAACTTGTCACTCTCTACAGTGACCTCAGAGGAGTTTGTGGTTGGCCTCTTCTCCTAGCTAACAGCAATAGGTCGAGAGGGATTGTCATTGTCTTCAGTTGTGCCAGGGGAATATTAGGAAAAATTTCTTCTCTTGGAAGAGTGGTGAGGTATTGAAACAGGTGGCCCAGGCAGGCAGTGGAGTCGCCATCCCTGGAGGTGTTCAAGAAGAGTAGATGTGGCATGTGGGAACGTGGGGTAGTGGGCATGGTGGTGATAGTTGCACTAGATGATCTCAGTAGTATTTTGTAACTTTTTGAATTCTATGATTTCCTTTCAGCAAAGCAGCTTGAAGACCTGATGTCTTAAATTTAGAGATAAGCCACAGGGTTTCTTTTGAGACTTTTTTTCCTGTGTCGTTTTGTTTTTTCTGTCTTTTTTGAATTGAAACTGGATCCTGTGGCCAAGCAGTTGTCAGTCAGTAGCAGATTTCATTGATAGGTACTGAGGCAGGTCAGATCCTTGACTAGTTTTGCTAAGCCCAGCTGCTGGAGTGCTAGGAATTGTGGCAGTTGGCCTGCAGGTGTGAGACTGAGTTATCTGCCCTGTGGCAAGGGGCAGGTCTCTTAGGGGGAATGGCAATATTTACAGCACAAATGTTGTTTGCAACGTTCACTTTGCCTTTCTGATGTACCGGTGAGCCTAGCTGTGACTATCTCATGTAATTATGATAAGAAACCACAATTACCAGAACAATGTTTAATTTTTAAAAATTTATTTCACACTTCTATACAAATATCCACAGGTAATTTCTAATAATGGAATGATGTAGCATTGTTAGCTGGTATTAAAAAAAAAACCATTTGAAATAGAAGTATACCAGTGATGTGACTTATTGAAAATAATTTTCAGTTTAGCACTGCAAAGACATTCGTGGTCTTGACAGGGGAGGGCCACAACCTGCTTTTAAATCAGAGGCTGGGGGTAGTTGGTTGTCAAGCATCTTAGCACCTTGTTAGCCTGGCTTCTTATGCTGCCCTCGGAGAATAAGCTGTTTTTAAGAAAGCTCAAAAACTGAGTAGCAGCTAAATGCATTTGTCAGGGTTCATAAAATCAGGGTCATGTACTGAGATTACTCAGTGGGAGGAAGAAGAGCCTACTAAATTACTGCCCTTTTTATAAGGATAGCATTGTAGGTGAGCATAGCTTCTAAAAAGGTATCTTAAAAGTTAGTAGCAGAAATCAGCCACCTGACAACTGCCCTCATTGCAGGTTTTCACCTCTGAGAGGAAAAAGTACCAAGAGGTTTTTGCATAGTTTAAACTGCTAACAACTAACATGCATGCTTCTTGAGCAGAACTTCGGTTTATATGGAATAACCAACTGCAAACTAATCTTCATTCTTAACGAGTACCAGTACTTTGGAATAAGGACAAAAGAAAAAGGGTAAACTCTTTATATAGTTTTATCAATGATTAGATTGCTGATAAGCACGGCATTGTGGTTGTTGTCTTAAGAGCTGGGGTATTCAACACGGTTCAGTAGTCTCAAAGTGGATCAGCTCAGATCCTCATAGTTAAGTTAGGCATATACAGCCTCGTCAAGTGCTTTGTAACAGCTGTAGTAGTCAACACCCTTTGCCAGACAGGAAGTCCCTAACGAAGCTGGAAAGCTGTTTCCAGAGAACTTCTCACTTCCAGTGAAGTATAAGACTGTATCTTAAAAACCCTACCTATGCTTGGTGTCTGAACTGCTTAATAGCCTGAAGTAATGTACAGAGTCATATTACAAAACCTGGTAGTTCCTATTAGATCAAGTTACAAATATCATGAAAAAAAAAATCTCACATACATCACTGGAATAAATATTTACATTTTTAGAAAGCATTGGCACCTTCAGTGATTTATTAAAATGCAATGAAAGCCTCAGGTCTCATCTTCTGAAGTTCATAAGCACAGTGGTTTCAAGGTTCAGGTAAGTCTTTGGCCTAACAGTTAGTCAAAGACAACTGGTAACAAAAATAAATACAAAAATGACTAAAATGTATATATATATACAAAAAGTACATCTAATATTCAAGCCTCTTTTTTAAAAAACTAACAAAAAAACAACCTGTGTATATTTGTTGCGAGCAAGATTTACATAATCTGATTTTAAAAATTGAGCAACGTGACCTATTGTGCATACAACTGAAGAGGATGCTTTTTGTAAGCCCTAGCTACTGTGGCAGCAAAGCTTATGACTAAAACAGATTTGCAGGTCTTCAGACGATACTTGAGCTACATATGTTAAGGCCAGTGTGTTTGTAAGGGACCACGCATCAAGGGAAGGCTGGAGGATTTATGCTGATCTGAATCATGCATTGCTGGCATTCCCAGGAACATTAGGAGCACAGGAAAAAGCCTGCCAGAGTGGGTTTGCATGTTCTGCAAAAGAGAGCCCAAATCAACACAGTGTCTTCTAAACCCTGAGTTAGATTTGAAAGAGGGGAAAAAGAGGCTGAGTGGAAATTAAATAGTGCCAATAAGGACTGACAAAGCAATTTCAACTGTGCAAACAGAAGCTGCAGTATAAGTAGTAATATCTACATACAAACAGTGAAGATGTCCATAGTGTTCGTAGGTCCGCGAACCATTAGTAAGTCCACGAGTTTACCATTAATGAAAGCATTATGCTCTATCTGAACTTTGAGGAGGGAAACCACTTTTTCCTAAGAATAACTTTCATTCTCATTCCATTTTGTGAACCACTGTTTTGTTTCAAGATCTTTGCATTTCCCGTCTTTGATCTCTCGTTCTTCTTTTCGAATTCTTACAGCATGATAGCGGGGGACACTGTCATCGTACCTGGAACGCTGGAAGAACCCACACTGGGGGGAGGAGAAAAAGAAGAGTTTAGACTGAAGTTGCTGTGGAAGTACTACAATTACAGAGGCAACACATTCTTCATAAAGGTAAGAAAACTGAATACAAAATACAGACTTAGAACACACCACATGAGTCTTCCTCTAAAGTTGTTCTGTCATATATAGAGAAAAGTCCATGCTAAGCAAAGATGTACATACAGTTCAGGAACGCTTACTTCTCCTGAATCAAAGGCAGCTATGTACTTCATTACCTTCCTGTATGTTGATGTGATTTACCATTAAACTTGTAGAAAGATTCCCAGGGCGTTCAAGGAAAGCTTACACTAGGGGTCGTCTTTTCAAAGCACCATCACTACTACACTACCTTAACTAACCATACATGTACAGTACTAGAGCACAAGTCTTGCTTAATTTGCCAGAGTGAAAAACAGACGTAAATTTAAATTTTGTAATATTCTCTGCTGAACACCTCCCTCTATGAAATACAGTAAACCTTGTTTGTGCCCCAAAAGTTTTCTTGTTAATCGAAACTGCTATAAAACCTAATATTTAACAGCTGAAGACTGAAATGAATATTCAAAATAAAATAAGCTTTGGCCACAATGGTACAGTGATGATGGTTGGCAAACATTTGACATGTTGATAGGTTTCTGAAGTCAAGACTGAAAGTACGAGACATTGTGCCAAACTGTGATTACATACTACTAGCAAAATAATAAGAGGTCGGGTTTCATTTTTGACTTGTTTAAAAAAAAAAAAGTTTAAAAATGAAACTTCAATAAAAAAACTTTTATGAGGAAAAACAACAACAAAGCATAGCTGAAAATTTGGTCCATCTCGTAATGAAAATTTCATTACATGCAGTTTTGACAGATTTTAGATAAGAATTCCTTCCCAACCCCTCATCTCAAAGCACCTCTAATTAATATCCGGTACGTGCATGTATTGTCTTGAGTAAAAGTTGAGTAAAGGAACGTAAGTTGTCATGCATCCTGGTAGCTTCAGCAGAGAAGTTTCTTCTAGAAAAGTATTTTCCAAACTGAAGGAAAATAGGTGTTTCCACAGCAATTACTTTCTATTTAAGAAAATTCCTTTCGTTATTAGCAACTTTATTTTTAAGCATGCAGTAAAAGGTTAATAAAGCAAGTTTATTTTCTAGATAGTCTTAGCTGTAAATATTAACTCTGCATTGTTACCATCTCTAAAGCTTAAAAAAACCAACTTGTTAAAACATCAGTTAAAAATGCTAAAAACCACTGCAACAGATCCATATGTTTTCTAGAGAACTAAAAGCTTCTTAGACCAAGGTCAGGACCTGTGTTTATGTACACCAAAAGCTGAAAATCTATTAACAGAGTAAGCAAGTACTGACAGTCTGAAATTCAAAAGTTAATAGAAAATATGCAGCAAAAGCTTCATCGTTAGCCACCACACCCACAGCATGTGCCACCACAGCTAAAAATTAAAAAATATCATCAATTACCAATTACAGAAGTAGATCAATACTACGCATCAGAAGTAAGCCTCTCTTTATCAGATGGCTGAGCATGGATCTCAGCCTTGTGATATGTGGCATCGTAATGATCTTTCTTACTTCTTTTGAAGAAACCACACTACAAGGAAGCAAGGTATTTAGTCAATTTCAGTGGACCAGAAGAAGAGTTAAACCTATTAGAACCGACTAGAACAACCTTTCCATAATCCCTTCACAGGCTGGTTGCCTCATGTTTTAGAAAGTTTTCACAAGAAGAGTCAGCTATTGTTACTAGATTTGAGAACTTCTGGGACTAACTTGCTCTGTACAAGAGCAAAATAACCTGGGGTGTAAGGAATGTCATTTTAGAGGCTTAATTTTAAAATTTTAATACATTGTTTTTTGAAGAAAAACTACTTACACAGCATGTCTGTAGCAGCTAAAGCTGTCTGTAAAGAGCAGAAAAGTTCTCTATACAAAAACCAATTTATGCACAGGGTAAATGTTTTGACTTGTTCAACAGGAGCATGTGTCTCATCCCCAGCCTATAATTGCCTATGACGTACAGTGTTTGTCCTTCATAAGATGCTTTTTTGTCATCAAAAGAAGTTCAGTGTTTATGAGAGCATTTTCATGTGCAGTAGAAGACTAGTAGTTGTAACCTAACAGCCCATCCAAAACGTTAATGATTATTCATTAGATTTGCAACAGACTGTCCATTTCTTTAAGAAGGAGGAAACCAAAAGTACCCTACGAGAAGTCATCTATAGCAAACAGTAAGTACAACCACACCACCTGCCCCAAAGGAAAGTGACAAGATATTCCTCTTCACCCACTCTTTCTAAATGAGTGTCTTTCTCATCAACTTATAGTAACTGCTGAAGCCAGTAAGTAATAAGAATAAAATAACTACCCTATTCTACTTGGAGACACAGTTAGTTGTAAAAATGCCAAAGGTGTTTTAAAAAATACTTGCATTTTTTCTTTTCAAATTCTTAAGTTTTCCTTTTAAATACGAATTTACTCCTTCAGGGTTTCTAAGATAAGGAGCCCATCCAAAAGAAACTGAACACACAGGTAATGTGTTATTTCTGCATCTTTTGTTGTTGTAATTTTTTTTCTGTCTGCTCTTGAGTTTAATAGCATTAGAAATGCCATGAGAAAAAAGCCCTGCTCAAACATCTGTAGAAAGTTCACAAAGTTTTACAGCTAACCGCAGCAGCCCCAGTTATTATCCATCTGTACTGAAGTATCTACAGCCTCTCTGGCCAGCTGTTTTGAGGTCTGGCCAAAGTTTCAGACATTTCCTTTTGAGGATGTAGAAACAGAAATATTTCCTACCAAGGATAGAAATGAGTTTTCTTATATGACCATTTTCATGCCAAATGTTCAAAAATTGAGAAACTGATACAGGTAATGTACATTTTGGGTTATTTTGTTGTGTTTTGAGTCCCAAATGCAAACCAAAAATACTTAACTGTTTGCTTAATTTGTTTGCTGTCTTGTCACCTGTATGCCAGGAAACATGAAATAATCAAATAAGTAAAAACTTACCTTCCATAACAAGAATACTAGGAGTGCAAGCATCAGTACTCCAGCAAAAATAGCCACTGCGATGATCCACCAAGGCACTCCTGTATAAAGGGCTACTGGTTTTGCAGGAAAGACTGTAACACGCACCTAGAGGAAAGAAAACAGGAACAGATTGAAAAAGCGTTTCAAAAGCATCCATGTTTAATATAAAATTGCAATTTATCGTCCTTTTTTTTTTTTTCCCTACATTCTTCTCTCCTTACCAAATGTTTTTGAAGAAAAGTTTCTAGGGGTATGGTTTCAATATAGCAGCAAGTTTTGCCAACCAAATTGAATGTGAAAAGGATCACAAATTCAAAACTTGATTTTAAAAATCCAATATATTAGCTCATTTTGCTTTAGAACAGTTTATCTTTTCTAGTCTTTGAGATAAGCTGGAAACATAACATGATCTGTGGCTAGCATTAAGTGCTGAACCTACCTGAGCAGCTTCATTTGTGAGTTTGACATTCTTAGCTGCAGCAGGAACACTGATTGAGGCTCTAACAAGAATGTCCAGGTAGTTCATTTTGGAGTATTCCTGTTCCAAAAAAAATACAGTTATTAGACATACGACAGGAAAGAACTCTAAGCTTTCAGAAACGGCAAGAGAACTTACTTCCAAGAAAGTACTGTTCCACAGTCTGGAACGCAGCAAAATCGATGCCTTGCTGTCAAAACCTTTCAGAGGACATTTTATGTCCACACACCGTGCATTCACCTTGCAGTCCTGCAGTAACAAATTTTTACATGTAAAAGCATCTTCACAGTTCTCCACCAGGATTTAAAATTGGACTCTAAACATCGTATTTAGGCACAAGAACCAAAATCTGTTTGTGCCAACAGCAATGGGAAACTATGATGAAGGTGCAATTAGTGTTTATTTTAGCATAGATAAAACTAGGAAAGAATTTCTCCATAGTTCTCGCCTCAGCAGGTAAATAAGAATTAACAAATTCTAAAAGCATCAATGCTGGGATTTAAGATAGAAAGAAATCAAAGCCCTATCATTTTTCACACTGTCAAACTCCAAAAAGCCCTGTTAAGAGTGGAGAGGGAAATGTCCAACAAGACTAATAGATGCAGTATGCTTACCAAGGTCTTATATTTTCTTTCTGAAAACAAAGAAAATGTTTTGCTGTCTGTAATCTGCTTCTCTGCAATCTCACGCTTTCTTCTTGAGTTATGGGATTCCTTTAAAATAAAATGTTTTTGTCACAACTCTGTCTTAATTCTGTCTCTTCATATAGGCACAGAAATAACTTTTGTTCCTAGATCAGTATGATATTGTTATATATCCCCCTTTTTCTACATTCATTGCTAATGACAGAACCATGAAAATTTGAGATTAACCACTAAAAAGCCAACTGCCTACTTTCTTTTGACATGGCAATGAGTTTTCAGATGTAAAAAGCTTTTCATGCTGTTTCTGTTTTTGTTCTGTGTATATGGCATTAATGTTACTGTGCTAATAGATTTACAGGTGATATGGTCAATACACACTGGCTTGGTTTTTTTTTGAAATATATACTGATTACTCACAGAAAGTTTAGTAATGATCAACGGATAAGAATAGGGTACATGCAGTTTTAGTAGCTACAATTACAACTTCTTCCAGATGACCTTGAGATTACGTGAAAAACAGTGAAAATGAGGGCTCAGGGGGATTAGAAAAGCTTGCTAGGTTGGCATAATGAAACTCCTGTTAGATAAATGTATTTATTTGCAAGAAATACACTACAAGTAAGCGCAAGCTCTTTCTCTTTCAAAAAAGTACAGGGAATTCCCCCTCATACTGGGCCAACAATTACTTTTTATTTTTCCATGTAGGAAGATAAACAGATTTCAGTAACGTTGATGAAAAGCATTAAAGCTAAGAACAGTTTCATCTTGTGAGAGCCAAAGGTACCAGTGCAGATATAATCACCAAGACATAGCATCTGTCCTCCAGCTTACCTCATTATCTATTTTACCAAGTCTCTTAACAAGTTTAGCCCCTAACATATTGTTTATGTACTGTGCCTACAACTTTCCTAAGACAAAAAAAATTCCTTCTGGAGGTAAGCTTTTACACTCTGTTACCACATGCTGTGGTGTTTTAATGGTGAAGCCATTAGTGAACACAAGAAGATAGGATAACATACCGCAACGTGCAAAAAATTGATTTCATTCTGTGGTTGACAGGAAATCTTTTCCAAGCCCTTGGAGTCTATTTTCATCAGATACAGCAGCCATTTACCATTACTAATTTCTTTTGGCCACTGGATGTCCAGGGAAGCTGTACCAAATGTTTTCAGTGGCCTGCCCAAGTTGGTTACCTGTGAAAATAAACTTCCTTTAAGTTGTGCAATCTGTTCCAAAGAGATTTATCACCATTACTGACTTGGAGTCATGCAGATAACAGGAAATTAGAAAGCCACTAAAAGACAATGAAAACCCTTAAAAGACAATATGTATATGAAAGCTAGCACATCTGGAAGGCAACTAAATGGCAAGCTTATAAGATCAGAAATTCATAACATTGAGCTGCTGATGTTTACATGTCTGTCTTCATACGAAACACCCACTATTTAGACTTAACAAATCATATGTCTACACAACTGTGACAAACTCCAAGTTTACGACAAGCTTTCGACACAGAAAGATAAACAGATCTTGCTCCCGCAGTTTGGGAAAATCCATTTTTAAATCCAGCAACGTTTTTGAGAATTAATACACATAAAAAGAGAAACTGTTCTAAATTACTCACTCTGAATTCATACTCTATGAGGTTTCCAATATTATCTTCAGATTTCATAGCACTCTCACCAACGATGTTACCTCCAAAATATACCTGAGATGGCTTAGCCACTCTGTTCAGGAACAAGGAAACAAATCAGGCTCTAATGAAGTCTGCAGCAGAGGTGTTCTCCCCCCACCCTGCACCCCTGTTCTGCTATCAAACTTACCCAGTGAGTGACAAAAGCAGTTCAAGAACCACTTTAGCACTAGCTGTAATTGTAGTTGAATTTACTTGAGTGCTTGTTCTACAATGGAAAAGAAACAACGCTGCTGATTTTTACAAGTTTAGAAGTTTTTCATTTTACTGTTAAATTGCTTTTATAAATAAAACCACTAATTCAAAATGTTTACGGCCATATGTCAAAATATAATGCACACAAACACACACACAAAGAATACTTACGTCTCCAGCTTGAGGTTAATGTCCAAGTCTGTTGTATCAACATTCACTTTAGTGGTACTTAAGATCAGATAAAAGGTTACCTGCATCCAGGAAACGTGAACATTTTAAAGAAGATGTTAATGTATGCAATATTATAGTAACACACCATCAAATTCTAAAGTTAAAAAGACAAATCTAGGCCAAATTTCCAGTTATGACACAGAAAATTTGAAAGACTGCAGCCAGGAATCAAGTTGTATAGCTTGAGTAAAGTAAGTGCAACTCACATTGGAATTTCTCTTGAATGGATTTCCAAGTTCACACTCCGCTTGAGAGCCATTTTGGTTAGCACCACACGTGAGCTGTTTTTCCTGAATAAACAGAACACATTTGTAATTCAATTTACGCTGAAAACATTTTAAAATTTGAATACCCTTTCTCTTAAAAACACTTACAGGATATCCTCTCATCTCCCTGAATGCAGAATAAGTCAGACTATCTGGAAAAGTTGCAATTAGTTTAGCTTCGTATGCATCTTCTCCATCTTTCTGTGGATTTCTTGCATCAGATGGATTATTCGTCACTGTTATTTCCAGGGCAATATCTTTCTGATCTTTTAAAACAAGCACTGGAATGCCATTTTCACTGCAGAAACAGAATATATAGAGCTGTGCATAAGGGAAACAAATGTGTTTCAAAGTTTGTTTCTTACTATGGTTTACCCAAACCATTTCTCTCTCTTAGTGAAAAATTACTGTAAAGAACATAAACACAGGAATGGTCACAGTATTTGTGTGGCACCCTTGGCAAAAGGCTGACTGTTCACAGTCAGTAAACATACTTCTTTCTGTGTTTTCTTTTTCACATCTCCTTTGTAGTACCACTGGCCCTCCAAGGAGGAGGGGTGCAATGGGATGCTGGCTTTGTGTTACAGCGTAACAATTTTGCCACTAACTTCTCTTAACTGCTCCTTAGGCTACTGGACGAGAGCATCCTGTAACTATACAGTTAATAGTACCACACAGATCTACTGCAAAGCTGGTCATCATTTCTCCAGCAGTTAGAAATCTTCTAAATTTCAGAGCAAATCTCCATGGTTGCAGCCACTTTACATCCACCATTTGATTCTGTACCATCATTCTTCTAAAGCTCAGACCCACTCCCCCATGATTGTCACCTTGACAGATACAACTACACAGGACTCAATTTGCCAGGCCAACACAACAAAGCTATTCCATCTCCCAGAATAGTCTAAAAAGTTGTTTTACTTTCAGCACTTGTCAATAATCTGAATTTTAGTAGTCACTGCTAAATCAAGTCTTACATTGGCAAATAGGTAAATCTGTCTTCATTTCCTTCTCTAGTGCAAAACCGGTACTGAAGTTTCAGATTGCTGTGACATTCATTGTCTTCTCCACATCCTTCTTTCAAGAACTCCACCTAAATAAAACCAAAGCACTTTTATTGCATGCCACATGGCATTAGCTTAAAATCTGATTTCTGACGTGCAGCGCATAAAGCAGCTACAGGGAACTCAGTAACTTTCCCAGATATGTCAGTGATGCAGAGCTCTAATGCTGATACAGCATCCTATCCATGCAGGAATTAGGTTGCATGGTTTTTTTTGTTCTTGTTATGTGGGATAAGTCTGGACTGCAAAAGATGAAAGATTCCCATTCTTATTTAAAAGCGTACTTCCCTCCTTGACATGTTGGGAAGGAAAGGGGAATAGAAGAAGCCTAACAGCCATATGATTTTCTCTCATGTAACAAAAGAAATGCAGGACTAAATTCAGAACATTTTGAAACACATTCATAACAAAGCACAAAACATAAGCCAGTCCAGAGCCACACCACTTATTTCCTTTGGTCACAATTTAGTTTTCTATAGTCTTTAGCGTTCGGTGACTTTCACAGCACAGATTTCTAGGAAAATATGATATTAAAGGCTTACCTTTGTTATCTTTGTTTCAGACTCATTTGAATTTAGTATTGGTATAAGGTCCGGAAGCGCTCTCTCTTTTCTGGTGGATGATGAGCCAGACTCCAGGCCAGCAATATTAACACTGACTGCTATAGGAATTGGGCGCAGCTTATCTTTAATTTTTTCCTGATAAAAATTTCAAATGTCATAGTTAGCATATAGTGTAGAGAAGAAAAACAACCTCAAGACTACCTTTTGATACACGTTCTAGAACAAGTAGTAAAGCAACATCTCCTTTGCTACATTTTGCAGTATTACAACTATTCACTATTTAGAAACATGTAATTTTCTAAAAATATGCATGAACACAACAAATCCCAGCCTTACTGTATCTTTTTTTCTGGCTTCCTGATCTGATTATTTCTCTTAGAGTTAGGAATTACCAGGAATAACAAATGGTAACTCAGGCAAATGAAACCTGCTACAATAAAATAACACACTAGAACAGTGGCTGCCTTTAGGGGTCAGCATAGTAGCAAAGTGAGAAGACAGTGCAGATCAAGTTTTCCTGTTGTGCCCATTCAAGCCATCTAAAACTTGCTTGAAATCCTTTCCCTAGTCAGTCACACCGTTAAATTCTACCACTAATTCTGTGGCTTCCAATAGCTCTCAATTTTTAGCATTTGTTGACTCTCCGTTGTTCTGATTTGGTTCGGCTCTCTTGACCTCCACAGCACACTGCACTGGCTGCAACTTTTATTCACTCTTTGAAAGAAAGGAAGCACCATGTGTGAAGAGAATAGTAAAGTACTACTGTTTTTCTCATTTCTAAGCCTTATATTGCACGTGATTTTTAAGTTGCATGCAAAAATACCACGAGGCTGGAAGAGCACGTTTTGTTATAAATGAAATAAAAATTAAACACTCTGCCTTACCTGCAGAACAAGCTTGGCTGTCACGCATTGTTTGGAGTTCTGCCCCATCAGGGTGGTACTTGCAGTGAACTGATCAGACAGATAGTCCTTAAACCGTACCCTAGATGGCAGGCCTAATTGTCTCCTCTCATTTTCTGCTTCAAATGTATAGTTGATCTCTATACGAAGAAATAAAGTAGTTTGCTATAAGGAAGAAACCTTGCCATGGTTACAAAGAAAAACAATTCAAGTATGATTTTACAGCAACATTTTAGAATAGCTTCACCCAGTGCTAAGTTTCACAAATTCTCAGTTATTTACAGAACCTTCTCCATCTGCTGCTTTACCCCTCTCTAGCTGAGGGGACATGTATCCAATGGAAACTTCCAAACAAAATCCTCCTTTTGGTCAGTAAATTCCTGTTACTTTATTAGCTTTTAGAGCTGGCTGGAGCCGTTGTAATTGATGCTGTAGAGCCAGTAGAGGGCTGAGATAAGAAATCATAAATGCTCTGACATGAGTCCTTGCTTTCTGTCTTGTCCCAGGTAGTACCTAAGCTAAGTAGTCAGCAGGATTTTGAGGTCAAGGTACATTGTTCATCTGAATACTGAAAGCGGTATTCTCAAGCTTTCTAGCTCTGTCTGTTGAGGCAGGGAATACCATGTTTGACAGATGTGAATTTGGTCCATCTTTTAACCATCTCTGTGCTCACCAAGATAATTTGCCAGTCCTTCGGAGCATGCATGTGAGTGGCTTCCAAATGCTAAAAGCACTTGGGCTGCTGAAGCGACCAATACCTTATTCAAGTACCTCTATGGATTTTACACGTAACTCAAAAACCCAAACACCACAAGAGAAAGAGGAGGTTAGGCTTAAAGTTCTTCTTGTTTTCTCTCAAAATCCTACAGTTTTCAGAAGTGTAATAACAGCAGCACTGTAACTACTTAAGAGGAAAAAAAAAAACCCGGATAGATAAGAAACTGATGCTTTACATTTTTAACTACATTTATGATACAGACCCCCAGCCTCCTATTAATACGGAGACTTACTACTTCAGTTGCTGATGTCCACAAAGCTATACACACAAATACGGGACACTTCTTGGAGAGTAAGTGTCCAATGAGAAGCAATGCTTACTAACCATATAATAAAATGGGCTTTAAAACTACTTTTTAAAGCAAAAACTGGAGAGGTAAACTGGCTGTTGTCTGTATGGCAGCCATTTCTCACTCACAGTTATGTCACCTACAGAGTTTCAGTTGAGTCTTTTGCCCCCAGAACTTCCTAACACCAGACACTATGTGCTGCTCCAAATACAAACACTGCATAGCTGACTGGCCTTAGTACTAAGTCACATTTTAAACCTGTCGTTATGTTTAAGTACCATTCTTCCACAATACCACCTTAAGTTTTATGTATACATATATATATACACACGCACACACACACGACGACAAAGATTAAAATTATTTCTCTTTAAAACTTACTTATTCTTGGATTTAAATTACGAGGGTTTGCAGTATACTGGAAACATGCTTTCACATCCATCCTGTAAAAAGTGCAGAGAAATTAAAATTAATAAGACATGGTCCAATGGACTGGAAAGTTTTAATAGTCCACTGAATTATGTTATGAGTCCTATGACTCTGCTTTTCATGCTGGAACAATCATTTGCTGCTTACTAAACTGAATTAGCAAAGCAAGTAAAAAATGTTTAATGAGCAATTAGAAAAATTTTTTTCTGGAATTTGCTTTTACATCTCTATTCATGAGAAAGCTGTTCAAGTTAAGATACCTTAACACACTAATAACACACCTAAATGTTAACAGTCCTAAGTGGCAAAGCGACACTGATTGGCCATCATATCCCCCCCACTCTAACAGCAACCGACTGAACGAATCTAACAGAAATGTCAATACACCACAACTTCTGACAGAACAACTCAAACATTACCATATTTCACTGGGGTCTTCAGAGTTCTTTTTCTTTAGGTCAAGTTTGTCAGGCTGTACTGTAATGCTTTTTGTAATGCTTATGACAGGTCGAGATCTTTATTTGGGGGAAGAAAAAAAAAAAAGGAATGAAAAGAAAAGGTAAAATAAGGAAGAGCTTCAGTTAGAATTAATGCAACAGTTTATGAATCCAGATGTCTCTATGCCTGCACTGATTTACAGCAAAGGCACCCCAAGAAACACAGGGTTTGGCTTTCATAATGGCAAGAAACAAAACAATTTAAAGCTAAGCTAAGCAAGTCAGAGTAAGTGGCTACAACAGTGAGTAGGAAATGCCTAATGAGGGAGCAGGGTACATTAATGCAATGTTATGGTTGTTATTTTATACACACACAGGAAATTCAAAGCGATGGTTCCCATACCAGTGGTAATTCAGCCCTTGTGAGCAACTGTAGGTACTAAAGTTCATTCAGATTAATGTCCAAAACAGCTTTAATGTGGAGCCTGGATGGCTAGGGGAAACAATGCTTTTACATCCTGACTCCTCCGCATGCAGACAACAGTCATGATTTAGCCTTGCAACTTTTCCTTTCTTTCCCTTTTTGGATGGGGGATAAGAAAAGGCAGCTGTTTAAACTAGAGTCCAAACAAGCCACCTCACCCTTTTCATCAGACTTTGCTGTTCATAAGCATAAAAGTTCAGTTCTCACTTGTACAAGTTTTTTTTTTGTAATGCCATTATAATTAAAGCTTCTTTTGACTAAATAGAGCATTTAATAATCTACTGAGTGTCCATTCCACCTAGTTTATTCCCTTCCACAAGCAATATGTGCTGCTTTTGTTATACACTGTTTCGGTGTATTTAAAGGCATTCCAATTACACACACAGATTCCATACACCTTAGAGACAGGATCATCAAAAGATTGTAGGAAAGGCAATTCTCCCTGAAGGGCAGACTTCTTTTCACCACCAAAATTAGGATAACCAGTTTGGCAGTTCCACCCCTCCCTTATTGAGACCTAATAATCACCACCAAAGCCTCAAACTTCATACAGGATTCACTGCTCTGAGGAAGAGAGAGTCCTCTTCCTGCTCATTACTAGTGAATTCAGCTTAACAGTAACATTAAAAGAAAAACTGGTCTGTAAAAGACCGTAAGGTCATCCTGGTACATCCTTAATTAAGGCCTGTGCTAGGGAAATCAAACAGGATCCTGGCTGCAGTGCTTCTTCAGTGCTGTTTCACAGACCCCACCACAGCCTCAGCACTTTTAAGTCTCAGCTGTGGAAGTAAGGTTTTCCTTTATCTTGTTCTATCTTAAATAAAGTAGGATTGCTGTTATATAATAGCAGTAATGCACATCAGCATCCCATAGCAACTGCACACATTCGCCCTCTTAGCCTGCTCTAATCAGAAGGTAGCTTCTCAAGAAGGAACAGGGAATGAAGTAACAAATCAATTCATGGATATTTTTTTCTCAGAATTTCCAACAGCAAAAATACACTCCAGGCCAAACATCTATTTCGTTATTTCTAAGCAGTTTGTTTTAAGAAAACTGAAAGTCTTGGTATAATTACAGTCCTGTAACGCAATACCTGAACACAGATACAGAATCTGAAAGGGAACCAACAGCAATATCAGGGTAGGAATTTTTATCCAGGTCCATGTTTCCAGCAATAGAGTAACCAAAGAAATTGGTGCCTGTTTTTTCACCATCAAGAATCTAAAGAGCAAACAGATTGAGGGAATTCAGACACTGAAAAGCTGTGAAAGTGAAATACTTAAGTGAACATCATTACCTTATGGAACAAAAAAGAAAACTTCCATCTTCATATAAACAACCCTGAAGTCCTAAGACGATCTCCTTTGTATAGAAATTTTGCCCATCCATTCTTTACTTGTAATATTTAGGCAGTTTAGGCACTTGAAACTTAAAAACATACTCTAGAAAATATTCTAACAGTATTCTAGAAAGTGTAATTAAGTTCCCTTCTCACCTTGCTAACTGCACATAGTGGTCACAGAATCACAGAAGCACAAAAAAGGCACAAACAAATGATATGAAAAAAGGAAAGGAGGAAGTCATGGAAGATAAAAATGAAGAAAACAATATCTCGAGAAGAAGAGAAAAAACAATATGTATAGTTATTTCTAAAGCAAAAACTCTTCATTAACGTGAGCATTTTATCTGAATTGAGGGCAAGGAACTATTTCAGAAATCCCAGAATTTCTCAAAAATAAAAAACTTATGCATCTACAAATTCTTTCACTTTTCTTTGTATTATTGGTACCAACGGACTGTCCCAGGGAGAAAAATGCACATTAAAAAATAAAGAACACCTAATTCCTTTGGTCAGCATTGCCATCTTTGAAGGTTCCTGTAAATCACTGTGCATATCCACCACCCAATTACAATAATGGAAAGGCAAAAGATAGAGAGCCCCATCATTCCCTTAATTTTGTGCAAGAGTAATTATACACAGCAGAAGTTATCATTACCTGTGCAGGTTTTGTATTTATTCCATTCTTGGATCCATGATAAATATATACTTTGCCAAAACCATCATACGGAGCCCCTACCGCAATATCTGTTGAAAATAAGTTGCAGTACATAAATAATTCTTATTCTTTCTGCAGCTTTCAGTTGTGATAAAGACAACTGTTCAAAGTGTGGCGCTGGCACAAAAATCACGCGCGTTCTCCTGTTAGTTGGTTTTCACTCACCTGGATATCCGTCCTGATTAATGTCCCCGACATTTTCAACTGCAAGACCAAACATCGAGTCAGTGGTCCCATTTAAGCGAACAGGTTTTACTCCTTCCCATTTGCCTCGCTGGTTAATGTAGATGTACACAGCACCACCAATATCTCCACTTCTATCGAAGTACTGTGGGGCTCCAACAACAATGTCTTGCCATCTTAAAGAAGGGAAAAAAACAGTGCTTGTACTGAAGAACTCTGAAAAGAGCTCACAGAGACTGCAGTCTCAAGGTCATCAGTCAACCTGCTGCTGAACAGAGGTGATTAAAAAGTACTTTCAACTAGTCATGCAAAAACAGCTGACAGAGGATCCCCTAAGACTGCAAGCCAATTACATTCTCTGCATCACATACAAGATACTTCTTGGATCTTCCTTTGGTATCATTTCTTCTTTACTTACACTAATCTTATGAATTGAAGTACAACTCATTTCTGTAATTAAAAACATAGATTGAGTTCTGCATGACTTTCTGAAACGCTCAGCATTTCCTCCAGCAAAACACGTAAGATTGTTCTTTACACTTCAAATGTAAAAGCCAAAGCAGGAATGAGTCAGTCTGTTATCCTGTATAGGCAGCATGAGTTAACCAAGGCCATACCCATCACTGTTGAGATCCACAACAGCCACATCATAACCAAAAGAAGAGGCCAGCCCTTCTCCTTCAAACATGTGCTCCAGAGTAAGTGCCCTCTGATTTTTCTCTTTTTTCAGTAGAACAACTGCTCCACTATGGTTGGCTCTTGGTGCACCAGACACAAAAGTCATCTCATCTTGGGAGACGATTCCTTTACCAGAGTCCAAGGAGAAACCTTTAACAGAGAAAGAAACAAACAACTTAGTGCTCGTATTGTTAACAAGAAAAGTAAATAACCCTACTATATTAAAGTGGCATATTGGATAGAAGTTTTCTAAAACAGAGTATGATATACTGGCAGTTCCGTGTTTCTCTTTGAACTGGTGAATGCATGTTTATAAGATTACACTCTTTCAATGTATTCCATTTAAGTTATCTCCCCCACAAAATGCACTATTTCATTGCTCAGGTCTCCATTTTGCAGACAGTAAATACAAGATAATTTTTTTTTAAACGTATTGGCTTAGAAAGGACTAAACATTACCACTTGAATATAGCTTGAGTACTGCACCTTCAAGAAAATCATTATAAAACTTCTACTTACAAGTCAATAAACTCTGTTACAAGCATGCAAGATGTACTGTCCATGCTTAACATTTAACATTAAATGATGTAATACAGTAGTTGAGAATCATTTTATCCAGTAGTGGTGAAATTGGCAACTTTAATTTATTGTGGCTCTAGTGGACACGTCTGAATGAATTTAATCTCAAGTATCTTTACAGAAGTTAATAGATTTAAAAGTACATTAAAAACGGAACAAAAACAATATAATGCATATACCGACATAGCCAATAAAGCTCCAAGTGAGATGATGCACACTGCAAGGAAGAAAATAGCAGCCAGCAGATGGTAATCTCCCTTTTCAAATACTTCACCACTACTATTGAAATTCTCAATTACAGCAATTCACAATGAGACAGTTTCAAAAAAATCAGGAAGAGGAGTCCACTTTGTGGGAGAGATGAGAGGGTTTGGAGAAATGCATCACAAATCAGTGCTTCTCTGAAGCCAGCTTATTTTACAAGTTACTCTTCATCTGAATCCCTGCTGTCACATGCTTTTACTTGCAATGTATTTGTAATGAGAATGGAAAGGAGAATATAATGTTAAAGGTCTGAAGATTGCGTGACCAGATGCTGCCACCTCAGGTGGTCACAAACCTAAGTAGCTATTCATCATTACATCCACTGATTTGTCCACCTGTATGCTGGGAGGCAACGTTTTGTACACAAACTGATCTGGATGAGTATCAGATACTGCTGTCAAAAATAGAAGACCTGTAAACATATGAGTGAAAGATTGAAAAGACAAAATAGTTGAGCACAGCAGCCATAACCACATATATTTACTGTCTAAATATAGGGAACAGCTATGCAAGGGAATGCTGGCCTTGCCTTCAAGTAGTTTTGATTACAACAAATCAAAGACAGCATTTACAGTTAGATAAATGCAACACTGCATTTATTATGAAATTGCAAAAGTTCAGTTTAGTAGACACACACACAGTAAACTGTTTACAGCAAAAGACACCGCTACAGTGCTACTCTCCCACATGAAAAGGCTATCAGTTTGCCTTTCTGAAATAAGCCCTTGGAATTTTTTACACCCAGGAACCACTGCTCACATTTAGCTTAAGATTATTTCTGCTAATAGACATGCAGCTCTAAGTTGACTCTTTACTCAGCTTGCTTTCATATTAACATCTTTCCCATTTGTTCAACTTCTCATTATTAACACAGAAATTCCAGCTATGAGTTACAAAATTGTATCTGCTGTCAAAGCCAAAAGCACTAGATCAGTGTAGCACAAAAACCTCTACTAGAGCAGAAATGTTCTTTACACACTGCACAGAGGCATTCTAAAAAATGGAAAGTAACCTACTCTCTTTACCAATTTATCTCACGAGTGTACAGGAATATTCATTACCCTAAGGATGTATTTTTGCTTTTGTGTTTGCACAAAGCTCAAGGCTCTCCTCTGGAACACGTACACACACACACACACTTAAAACATAAACATTCCTCATGTTACAGTATTTTTAAAAGCCTGAAAAAGGCCACCGTGGCTTTAAAGTCTTCATTTTTATTTTTTTATTTTTTTAAAAAACACTCAGGCCAGAAAATTACATTCAGGAACTCAAATGCTAGTGAATACCACTTTTTGATACAACACAGCAGTGACCTTGTGACTAAGGATTGCAGATCTAAACATGGTACTTACCATTAGACATAGTGATTATAATCACTCCCTGACAATGCGTAGGTCTTCATTATCACTCTTGAATATCTTATTCTTTTAGCAGCACTTCCAGGTACCTCAGCAGAGTACCATCTTACACATAAAAGTGGAGGAAGATATGCTTCATCCCAAACAATTCACATTTCACAGGGTCCTCACGTGAACAGCTTTCTCCTCCCATTCCATATTATTGCATCAGAGCAGATCACAAACGTTTAAGAAGCCTAAAGAGATTTACCATATGTACTTTGTCCTACCTAAATAACTGTTAGCTGGAACAGGAACTAGATTCTTATCTTGGCGGCTCTCATCACCAACTTCGTAAGGCCCATCATCAAAGATACCCAGATCATAAAATGTCTGATTCTTTTGCTCTGCACGAACCACCCCTGAAGAAGTGAAATGATAAAATAAAAGCAAATGAATGATAAGGGAGAAAAATAATAGATAAATGGTTCTCCGCTAGTACTACCATGAATGAGACAGTGACTGCTGTTTAAATAGGACAAACACAGACTAGCACACCAGCCTTTCAACAGGCCATGAATTTCTAAGCTCAGCCTGTGTGACAGAGCTTCTTGCTATTCCATGAGATGTAATGCAGTGATCTGGAAAACATGAGATGCTAAGAGAATTCTCAACAAAAATATGAGACTGACTTGGTCATGGACCACCCTCATCCCACTGTGCTTAATTTGCTTAAGTCTCTCTTAAAAGGGAGGTAACTACACACAAACACAACAAAATAAAACAAAAAATACTTTCAACTGTGGAGTATACACTGGGAGTATATTTAGAAAATATGTATTTATTGCTTATACTGATAATATTTATTGTTCAATAAAATACGTGCTTCCCTTTTATTGATAAGAACATTTACCATTTTGCCAAGTACATACATGTTTTTCCATGGCATAAAAGAGTACTTATGCCTGGTAGTGAAGAGCACTTCTCTGCAATTAAGGTAAAGCTCTAAACTGAGTAGTTGGTCAGACTGTGTTGACAGGAACAGATATGTGGAAGATGGAACCTTCACACAAGCACTCCTTGTGCCAGAGCTTAACTCAAAGACTTGGTTCATGTAGCAGGCACAGGTGTACAAGGGGAGAAATTTTAATGATTTAAAGATCAGCCTTGTAAAGGAGGGAGCTCTACAGCTGCTGGTATAACTTAGTGCAAGGGGAAAAAGATTAAGAAAAAAGACAGGGCTAGCCTCTTAGATGCTTCTCAGTATAAACGTATGAAGAAAAATCTTAAGTTTTTCCCCCCAAGTTTTGGAATATTTCCTATACGTGATATAGAGTCCCTGTCTCTTAGTCAAACTATTTGTGAAATTTTACTTGAGTAAATGTCTATGCATTTAGATATGAATACAAGTAGCTTTGCTCTGTTCAGTTACCTTCCTGCAATCCTCTGGTACAGAATTTGGGAAGCACTCCCTTCTACAGAATTCACAAAGAATAAAGAGAATACAGGAGGATATAAAAAATACCTCAGAGCAGCTATCCAATATGCTCAAACTCAGAGGAAAAGATTGGGCAAATAACTTCTAATTAATTTAGTAACTTGTTACAGTGCAAAATGTCAAAGCAAGAACTCAATCCTACCATAAGACTAATAAGGAAAACTGCTGCTGTACATACATGAGAAGTTCCAATCATAAGTAACCCTTTATAAATATTTAAAGCTGTGAGTATTTAAAGCAGTGAATATTTTTTATAGAGGAGTGAAAATCAGGTAGAATCATGAGAACCCTGTAAGGTTTATTGCCCCTTCCCACCCATCAAAAAGGCAAGTAAGAACCTTGGAATGCAACATTTGCAAAAAATCTAAGAGGAAACGAGAAGGGGGTCGGTCTGGATTTAGCAGGAAGGAAGCTAGGTCATACCTTTCCAATTGTAAGTGCCTGGAGCGCCAAACACAATGTAATGGTAGTCTCTAGTAAAAGTAGCAGCAACGCCTTGCTGACAGGAGCCAAACTTCTCATGGCCTCTTAAGCGACCGTCACAAAAACTCCACACTCCGTTATCCATATCGTCCTTAATAGTGAGATCCTGGCTCAGCACGTAGCACCTTCCAATGATATCCCGGGTTTCCTGCACTGTGTTTACATACTGCCTTTTCTCATAGCGATGTGCACATGTCTGCAAGATAGGAGACAGTAATTCTTTTTGTATGTTTGTGTGCTAAGTTATCAAAGAAGGCTGGTCTCAATAAGCCATACTTCATGCTAGCAAAGTTCTCCTTGTGGACACATTTGGGCACTCTCTGCATTGCAGCATAGAATTTCCTATAAGCATCTACAGACCCAAGTCAGAGCAATCACCTTCCTGATCAGGGAAGGCAGCATAGTTAAATCCCTCTTCGCTTTGGGACTCAGGGGTCTTAGCCCTAAAGCTTTCACTGATACTTAATCCCTCACTTTCAAACACAGAGTGGACAATAACCTTGTCTCTTGTAAAAAACAAACAAACAAACAAAAAGCAAACAAACAAACAAACAAAAACCAAGCTGTGTTTCCCCCCCAGCTGTAACAGTTAAATAATCAACATGCTTGTATGAGACACAAGGAGCTGGTTCCACTACCATCCACCTTTTCCAAAGTCATCTCTTTCAGAAAAGTGCCACAGGCAGGAGGCTGAAAGCTTTTCCAGTGAGAGCAGAAGAAAGAGTTGTTGTTCCTACCTCTTATGGTGGGCGTTTCATTTATGGGATAACCATCACTGGGATGGAAAAAAGCAGCAGTACTAAGTATAAGCTGTTCTTTAACCTAGCTGTTAGACTTTTCACCTAGGAAGAGAATTCCAATCAAATACAAATGATGATGAGCCACCAGGATAAGTAGTAACCACCAAACCACTGTAAAAAGAGGTGGACCCCTTGACAGCAGTGTTTTTTGCAGATTCAGAGGGAGGGAAGGCAAGACGAGCACAAGCAAGACAAGTTTCTCATCCGACAGAAAAATTCTCTCCCTTGGCTCCTACTAAGGCTGGAACATTAAGCAGATACGTAGCCGATACTCATTTAGGGCACTGCCCTACTCCGAGCCGTGCTAAGAAGTACTGTGTGCTGCTCAACTGCACTGTGATCTTCAGGCTGCCTTCGGCCCACCTAGGAAGCACATGAACTGCGTCACAGGGAGATGGCACTGGCTGGTGAGGAATTAACTCTACAGGACCAGTTCCATCTACTTTTCCTCCCTTGGGTTCCGACTCAGACTGGAGCAGCTAAGTACTGTCCCTATAGCATCAATAACCCAGAATTGTGCCCTGAAGTTGCTTTAGTCTTGTCTTTGAAGAAGTGAGGTTAAGCTGCAAGAATATAATTAGATGGAGGAGCCTCCCTGCACCCCCATTTTATGATATAGCTGGTGTTCTGCAGCACCATGAGAGGTGAATTTGAGAAAGAGCTATGAAGCTACAAAAATAACATTATCTGCTAAATCTCAAAAGCTTTTTTCTCTCAGTAGCGTATGAAAGAATAGCCTGCATCATCATTATTAGTACAAGCTCTCACTGCAGCACGCTCTCACTTCCTAAGTCACAGTTGCAACATCCAGAGCTACATGAACACAGAGGAGCAATTCAGCTGACGGCCCTCAGTAAAGTTAAGGTAAGGCTGATCATCCTAGGCAACAAGCTGAAGAAAGAGGGCTCCTTTTTTAAACTTTACCAAACTACTTTTCCTTGTTTCTGTAGTAAGTTTTTTTAAAGAAACAATGTATCATGAAAGGAGGAACAAACAACCTGAAAATAAATTGTCTGTTCCATATCCAAGATCCATCCTGTTGCCAAGATTACAAATAAGGGCTAACTCAGAGTTAGAAAAATAATTTAAAATGTCTACAATCTCAAGAATTTTGTTTTGCTAAGCAGACATTTAAGTCCTTAATTCTAAGAAATTACAATTATACAGCAATGGAAATTACTTTCAGGAAGCTGCACAGAAATACAGATCATTCAGAACATTTACAAAGATGTTTTGGGTCTACAGCACGCTAGACCTGTAGACTTACCACCACATTTCCTCCTGGCCCCTGACTTTGGACGGTTACACCCATCCATTGGTCTTCTTTGCTCTCCATCTTTGGGTCAGCTGGAGATTCAAATAAAGCAGTTAATTTTTTTTGTCTCTGTAAGAACTTTACAGTACATAAGATAGTCTACAGATGGCAGTGTCTGCACATCCTATCACATTCCAATGCAAGTAAGTTATGTACAAACCTAGAAAAGCAACTGTGTGATATAGTCAATGGAAAGGACTGCATCAGATCAGAAAAATCAGACAACTGCAGAATAAAAGCACTGAGGAACTTACTGTCTTCATCAAACACAACACGTGTGCAGCGTGTGTCTGAAGATGTGATGTCACAGCTGTACAGCCCTCCTGTTCTGTTGGCTTGTTGGGATGGAAAGGCCTTTTCCCGAGGAGCTCCAACCAGCAATCTACAGGGAAACAGAAATAACTTCAAGGGATCTGCAGAGGCAGTATTAGAAAAGAGGAAGGCAGCAGAGTCAGGAAATGCTTTCACCGTGTTGTTAGAGGTGTGATGTGCAAACATTTAAGGGGGATTTTCATCAGTCAATACAACTGCTTTCAGACTCTGCATTTGCACCACTCCCGTGCCACCACCCCCCATGAGTATTATCACAAAATAACCACAGACATGTTTATTTGCTAAATGAGAGTTCTCAGTCAAAACACTTTTTTTCTTCGGATATTTTTGAGTCGCATATATGTAAACCACAGCCACCTCAACTTCCTAACTGAAACCAGCATACAGTAACAGCACCACGGTCTGCAGAAGAAATAAGAAACAATGAATTCTGCTGAAGAAAACCAAGATTGAGAAAACTGTGTGTAGATGGGTACAATACAGCGGGTGCAACCTTCCTGTGCTTCCAGACACCAGTCAGTATAAATAAGTAAATAAATCTGAAAGAGATCTGATATTACATTACCAAGAGAGGAGAGTTTAAGGCTTCAGTTATAGTTTTTCTGTTGAGACACATTTTTCAACATGCTTTATAACGGCTGTGGAGCAAAGCAAACCACTGTATCTCAGAAATTGTTTTTTTTTGGTGTTTTTTGTTTGTTCATTTTCTCATTAAAAACATGACTTTTATTTCTATCTAACATACACCAGTCTGATCATTTAAGATCATACACATTATTGTTATTTAGGAAACATTCACTCAATATCACTAAGGTAATGAGACAAAATTGATGTCTCGTAAGAAATTCAGAACAGAAAGTTACACGCGTATTGTGAAACAGTCATCTCTTCACCACTTCTACACACAAGAATTTTCCATAATTTGTGCTCACAAAGGTAAGGCCCTGAACGGTCAAACTTCAGGTAAAATATTTGCTTTTGACTGATACACACATAAAAACAGGACAGGCAGCTTGGGTGGGTTTTAGTTTACAGAGCTTTCCATTTCCCCCTACGTACGTCTGGCATCTTTTTCAAAGATTTTTTTTCCAGAAACACAGCTGTTATCACAAGAGTCTTTAATCCAAACAACCGTGCTTTTAGAAAGGCCACTAACAGCTTCATTCTCTAATTGTGGCAGCAGTACTCAGCTCTCATCTCCAAACTCTTTTGCAAAGCAGGGGCTTCTGAGCTGCTCCTAATGTAGGACTTAGCTACATTTTCCCCTCCGTTCTGTCTCTTTCCGAGGGGATAACAACACAAGGCTCGTTGTTGTTCTTAACACTGGCAATCAGAAATTATAGAAAGTGGGGGCTCCGATTTCCTAACTCTCAGAAATTTTTGTTTCTACTTCTTCAAAACTTGGTCCAATTGTACCCTGTTATTAAAACACACGCCTACCGATTTTAAGCTAAAATTCTAGTCTCAGAGCAAATATATCAGTCCTGATGCTGTATTGGTTAGAATAAAGTTAATTATTGCTTTATCTTAATTACCTCTTGGAGAGGGTCAAGCAGCCACTGCACCTCGCTGCCATGCCCCTGGCAGAACAGCCTAGCCAACAAAAACTTCATCTCTTCAGTTGTGCTAAGTGCCACTTCAGCCTCAGAAAAGGCATCAAAGCATCTTACTGACTTCCCCAGTGACAGATCAGACCTTTGGGCAACTGTATGTGCAAAGCGTGCTTCACACAGCCACAGAACTCCAAGCAGGGAGAAGGCAGTGGCAACTCCCTCCCTGGGGCCTCAGTGCTCAGTGCAAGCATCCCCACAAGTCAGATAACAGCAAGAAGGACTGTTCCTAATTAGTCCAACAGACTTGTGAATCCAAAGCAAAACACACCAGAAATAGCTTTTCATTTCAGCAAGCACCAGAGCATATTAAGCAGCAGGGTACAGTTCTGAGGTCCTGTCTGCTCTCATCGGTGACTTGTGAGAACTGCAGCAATGGCTGTAACGTCCCTCCTGGGGAATGAAAATGACAGCGGGAACTAGGAGAAGTTCTGCTCGCAGCCACCTGAACCCCCTTCAGTACTGTCCACAGAACGCCCTGGCTCTTCCAACAGGACAGCTGCAGTTCAGATGAGACAAGTGCATCAGAAACAGAAAATCTCCAAGCTCCTGCAAGTACTCCTCTCACTCTGTGGTGAATTCCTTTCCCCACTCACAGCCTGAAACTTCCTGAGGACAACATACAGTTTTCACAACGTACTTCAAAGAACAGTTGCCAGCAATTCATGGCAGTATCTCAGGAACAGACACCAACTTGAAAGATAAGTCTAAAGGAGGGAGAACACCTTTAAAACACCTTTAACATTTTTGGCAGGAAACTCTTGCTCATCGTAGGAAGAGGCTTCCATTGAATAAGCTACATTGTGATTTAAACAAAAAATACCGTGGTCTGCACCGAGCTCAGACACTGTGTCTTCATTCCTTGAATTCCTGTCTTTCCCACAGTATCTTCTACCCCAAACAAGGCACCAGCCTTTGCCATCTTTTCCGTAAAAGCAACAGCAACACATTACTGGTGACAGTACTGTGCTTTAACAGGCTTGAGTAGAAATCACTGGAAGCGTTTCCTGGGTAACCAACCATTAGCCATTTCCACAAATAGGCAGAATAAAATAGTCAGTGGTGTACGTAATTTCCAATTTTGCAGCCTTCATTGAGCACAAATGTCCAATTTAATGTTGCCTTTCTCAGTAACAACGGTGCCACTGCATGCTTGTGTTTTCAGAAGGACTCCATCAGCATGAGGGGGGCAAAGCTGGGAAGCTAAATACTGTACAACTTCTCCCACTCCTGGCTAAACAGAGAGAATCCCCAAATCCCTTCCTCCTGCACTCTGCCTCAGACCATTCCATTCCACTGATGAAGAAATGAAACTAACAGCCACCAACTGATTAAACTTATATTACCAACCCCCCAGTCACAGTACCCACACGCACACCATGTGTCCAGCAGCTCCGGGCAGACACAGCTGATCTCCATGCGGACATCTGCCCAGAGCTTTGTCCACCTGCACTACCTGGTTCAGAGAGCCCACACCACCTCTTCAGCTTCGCTTTACTCTCAAAGCAGAAACAGCAGGCATGCAGCCACTCTAGGGGAGCTGAGCGTCACCAGGGGCACCGCTTCTGCCCTCCCTCAACAAACTGTGATCATGGAGAACTTCCTCATTAGGGGACAAGTGTGTCAAGTATCCAAACTTTAGGACAGGAACATCAAACCATAAGGCATCTCAACGTAAGTGATGTTGGTTAATGGGACAGACTGTATTTAATCCCAAGCAGTACCACCTCTGCTGTGCAAGGATCTGGCTTCTAGCAATGGAAGCAGGGACAGGTGTGGTGGTTTCTCACCAACAATCAACTGAACTCCACCAGGCCTCTCCCTCACTCCCCTCTGATGAGTGCGTATGAAAATAATGTGGAAAGAAAAAGAAAAATCACAAATAACTGAGATAAAAATTGAAATAATAAAAGGGAAAAGAAAGAAAAAACAAGCAAAGGCCATATGGAAGCAAAAAGAGAGAAAACAATTATTCTCTAGCTCCCATCATCAAGTGATGTTCAGCCACACCTCGGGAAGTAAAGCTTCAATAAGCTTGGCAGTTGTTTGGAAGAATGAACACATTCTTAACAGGAACTTCCCTTTTCCCAGCTTGTATTGCTGTGACATATAAAGTCCTTTTGGTCACCTTAAAACAGCTGCCCTGGCCACATCGCCTCCCCTCTCCTACCCACTCCCCAGCATGCTGGGTTTGGGGTTTGGAGAGTCTTCATGCTGTGCCAGCACTGCTTATTCCATAGACAAACACTGGGGAGGTACCAAAGCTGTTCCAGCCACAAGTGCAAAGCACAGCACAGTGCAGGCTGCTGGCATCCCAGCCAGAGCCAGCACAAGGACAGGAGCACCACAGACATCCCAGCACAGAGCCCTTCCTACTCAGGCAGTAATGGGAACTGGAGCTCAACCAAGGGAATGGGCTTCTGAAAAAGCAGCTGCTCCCAGAAAAACGCAGCCAGAAATGATGCCAGTGGGGAAATTGTTCACAGTGCTTTTTGCAGATACCCACTGTTTCCAGGCTGTTATGAACAGTTATTTTAAGTGACAGATGATTCTCCTAATCTGCTACTGCACTGCTACATTTTCCTACTACCATCGCAGAGCCGTGGCCAAGTACACCATTAATCTCTGTTGCCCGGAGGCCTAGCACTTAAAGGAGTGTGATTTTCATTTTATTAGCTCAGCCTTTTTCAGGAAGCAGATTACGATAGGGGCTGGGGAAAGAAGCCAAAAGCAGCAAAAGGGCCAGAGCAAGCTACAAAGCAAAATGAACTACAAAGCTACCTGTTGTTCTGCAAAGGCCACTAATTATTGACTTTCTGAAAGTCGCATGGAAAAGCAAACACTTTCCAATGCTTTCCACTCACAGCCAAGAGCTCAATCTGTGTGGATTTAAAACGGGTTTTACAGACCTCATTTTCACTGGCAGAAAGCATTTTTCCAAAGTCCCATTTCAAAACACAGCTTTCCATTTTGCCCAGCATTCTCTTGCTGTAAGTAGGAGATACACTGCTTGCGTTTTTGTTTTTCCTTTGAAACAGTCAAACAGCACAAGAAAACTGTGTAATTCAGTAGTTTTAATTTCTCTCTTACAAACTGTACATCTCCCCCAGATTTAAAAGAAAGAGCACTGGCTCAGGAACAGACGTTATTTACTAGATTGTGTTATAATTAAACTGTGATAAAATTATTAAAGACACAGCGTTAAAGAGATTTTCAGTCAGATTTTCTCTCACAGTGACAGTCTTTCTTACTGCATAAAATCCTCTTACAGTAACGAGAGGTTTAACTCAAAAAGGGACAAACGTGTGCTCAAAGAGAAGCTCAGGAGCCGAGGCTGTGGCACCCTGCTCTCAGCCACCCCGTCGGACTCCACTGGAAATCCATGCCAACCCTGCCACCATCACCACTTCACCTGTGGGCAGCCGTGAGGCGCTGAGCTGTGGCATCAGCAGGACCAGCTGGCGATGTGGCTGCAAGCAGTCCCAGCCAAATGCAAGCACAAAAAGAGTTCATTTCCCATCCCAGCTGGCTGCTGCTGATCCAAACATTTTTGCCTTCCCCATGCTGGACACGCTCACTCTACAGGCTACAGTGACCAACAGGCAAGGAATTGCTGTCTTCTGTAACAAACAATTTCAGAATATAGATTTAAATGTCATCTTACTTGCAGGGAATGCATGCCAGCTCCATTTGGACTCATAAAAATGAAGGGAATCCAGGTCCATGTTTCAGACAACGCTGAATTAATCAAAGTACGGAAGCAGCTGCTCAGAGTTCTTTTTCCAAGGAGCACCTTGGCAGAGCAGCACTGCAGCCTTCGCGTGAAGGCAGTGCCTGCTGGACTAACAACCAGAACAAGCACACACTGTTCATGAGCATGCCAAAGCCATTATAAAAAAACCTGCAGAAGTTTTAATACGGTTGAGATGTCATTCCTCTATTTCTTTCACTGGGTGAAGTAAATCATTTTCATATGAGACTAAGAAAGAAGCTCAGCACAAAGGACAGACACCTTGTCACCCCTACTGGAGGGGCAGCCACCCCTGTACGAACCAGAGCCATGTCCTGCTGCAGCCCAACTGCTCCGAGACACTTGCTGCTCCCCCTCCTCCTGAGCCACCACCTTCTCC